ATGACTGCCCTACAAGTAGGATTGGGTTTGAGTAAGTCAAAATGGCTCTTAGAAAGATGAGGAGAGACAAAGCTGTCGGTCCAGATAAAATTCCTATTAATGTGTGGTTGGCCCTGGGAGAAGAGGGAGTTAAATGGTTGATCAATATCTTTAATATTATTTTAGAGACTGCCAAGATGCCAGAGGAGTGGAGAGATTCTACGGTGATACCAATCTATAAGAATAAAGGAGATCCCCAATGTTGTGGCAGCTACATAGGTATTAAACTACTCAACCATACCATGAAGATATGGGAAAGGGTGATATAGGCTAGGTTGAGACATGTTTCTAGGGTTTCGGAAAACCAATTTGGCTTTATGCCAGGCAGGTCTACTACGGAGGTGATTCATCTACTACGACGGTTTATGGAGAAATATAGGGAAAAAATAGAGATCTTCACATGGCGTTCTTTGACCTTGAGAAGGCGTATGATAGCGTTTCCTACGATACGATCTGGAAGACCTTGGAAACAAGGCGGATACCAACTGCTTATATCCGAGCGATTCGTGATATGTATTGTAGATCTACTACATACATCAGGATTACAGTTGGCGACACTAAGGCATTCTCGGTGGAAGTTGGACTCCACTAAGGGTCGGCTCTTAGCCCTTACATCTTCGCCTTGATTATGGACGACATTTATTTTGCGACACCAGACGGTGTTCCATGGTTTATATTTTTCGCTGACGACATTGTCCTAGTTGCTGAAACAAAAACTGAGCTGAATAGTAGACTGACTACCTAGAAGACTGCTTTGGAAGAAAAAGGTCTAAGGATCAATATGGAAAAGAGAGAGTATTTATGTTCAAACTTCAGTGGGAACCAAAACGATGACGATGTAGAAGTATGCATAGAAGGACACGTTCTACCCTCAAATGATTGTTTCAAGTACCTAGGGTCTATGATTCATAAAGATGGGGGTGTGGATGATGACGTTACACACCGTATAAAGGTAGGATGGCTAAAGTGGAAGGCTGCTACTGGAGTTTTGTGTGACAAAAAGATGCCTTTAAAACTTAAGGGAAAATTTTATAGAATGGCAATAAGACCAGCGATGCTGTATGGATCAGAATGTTGGACAATCAAGAAGGATCACGAAAGGAGGATGGAGGCCGCAGAAATGAGAATGCTTTGATGGGCATATGGTAGGACTCTGTGGGACATGACACCAAACTCTGCTATTAGGATGTCCTTGGGAGTAGTGCCTGTATCCGAAAAATTGAGGGAGGGAAGACTACGATGGTTTGAGCATATCCTTAGGCGACAACCACCGGATGCGGTCAGGAGGGTAGAGTCAATTACAGTCGACGGTACCAGAAGAAGAGGATGACCAATGCGGAAGTGGGAAGACTGCTTGAGATCTGATTTGAAGAAATTAACCCTTACCGAGGACATGACCTCTGATAGGAAAGTATGGAGACTTAAGACCAGGGTAGCCGAGTAGTGTTGTCTTATTTTAGGTTTTAAACCCATTTGTAGTAATTTCCATGACTTCTACTTTTTATACGCTTCTATCATTGGAATTTATAAAGGCTTAGAACTAGGGTAGCGGAGTAGTGTTGTCTTAGTTTAGGTTTTAAACCCATTTGATTATATTCCTTCTCTTAGCTTGCTATCGTTAACTTCTGTGTATCATTCTCTTCATGTTTCCTTTTTCAAATTTAGTCGGGTCTTACGTTTCTATCTATATGCAGAGATTTTTACGCAGGGACCTATTTGCAGAAATTACTTCCCATTACAGACGCGCATATGAAGAATGTTCAACTAAGTATTTTTATTTATGCATGCATGCATTGCATTTGATCGTTATTTTTAATTTTCTGACTGCCGGAGGTCTTCAACGGAAGCTGCTCTCAACCTGGCGTTGGGGGCAGCCTACTACCATAGATCCCCCTTACCCCATTGTATATGGGAATAGGGTTTTGTTGTTGTTGTTGTTGAAAAATGTAAAGCAAAAATAAAAAATAGAAAATTAAAGTAATTAAATTAAAGAACTGAAATTAAATAAATAAAAAGTAAATGACATAAATTAAAATATAAAGTAAATGACTAAAATAAAAAATTAAAATATAAAGTAAAGAACTAAAATAAAAGATATCATAATATAAAGCCCAAAATAAAATAGTTCAGAATATTAAAATATAGAATTAATATGACTAAAATATTATAAAGTAAAGCAAATAGATCAAAATAAAATAAAATAAAAATATAGTAGATAATTTCGAAATAATAAAAAAAACAGAGAAATCAAGAACTAAAATGTAAATATGCACCTAAATTATAGGGATTATTTGGCGATTAACCCTTAAAATAAATAAATAAAGTAAGAAAACTTTCAGAAACCAAGGATCTTAAGATAATTTACCCAAAATAATAAAATGAAAACCGCCCCATTTTGTTTACTTTCCAGTAAGGTGAATACCAAAATATCATTCCTTCTCTTTCATTTTTCTCTCAAAGAACCAAACTTTCCCATCTCCTTCCCTCTCATCTCTTCTCAACTCTACACAACGGTGGCCAAAACTCTCAAAGGCTTACAGCCTTTTCAACGTCGGCCACTGCCATGGTGGTCGCTCCTACTCCAACCGGTGACGTGATACCCGAAACCCCAAGGTAAAGATCCTATATTTTCACTTATATTTGTTGTTTGATTTCTAATATATATATATATACCTTTGCTGTATTTTTATTTCCAATCCTCTGTGTATTCTGCTAGATTTTTATTTGAAAGTCCCCCATAATTACATATTTTTCAGGGGTTTTTATAGCCCCAGTTTACATGTAAAATAAATTTTTTACATTATCTTTTGTTTGTGATAATAAATTGATTTGGGACGTGGATCATTGGTAGCCGTGGGACTGGCGGCTGTTGATGCGCGTGGAGGGAGCAGTTGGAGGGACATAACGGCGGAGCAGGGGGAGTGGTTGAAGTGGAGAACAGTTGGTGTTGAAGCTGCTGGCAGCTACTGGAGGCTAAGGTAAAAATGGTGATTACAGCTGCCCCTCTTTGCTCGTTGCTGTAGAACAGGAATGGAGCAAAGACATAAAGCACCATTTTTAGCTGGAATTGTTCAAACTTCTGAGCTATAAGTTCTTCTCATTATGAACTCTTTCACTGGGAATGTTGATGTCTCAAGTGAGGTGTCGTTGATTCAACTCCATATGCGATGAATCAAGCTAAGGTTGAACAAATTCTTCTAATTATGAACTTCTTCACTGGAAATGTTGATATTGATCTATCTCATTTCTTTTTGTTGAAAATGTTGAGCAAAAGGTTGAATGTGTTCTTCAGATTATGAACTTATTCTTCTTCATATGAATTCTTCTTATTACGAACTCCTTCTGGAAATGTTGATGTTGCTCTATCTCCTTATGCGTTAGAGTCGAGGAAAAGGTTGAATATGTTCTTAAGATTATGAACTTATTCTTCCTCTTCAGATGAGTTCTTCTTATTACGAACTCCTTCTGGAAATGTTTTAGGAAAAACAATCTCAAGTGAGATAATTTGTTATTTTGAGTGAAACTTTCTCAAGCGAGAAACAGTTTGTTTTAAGAAAAACAATCTCAAGTGAGATAAATTACTATTTCGAGTGAAACTTTCTCAAGCGAGAACAATTTATTTTAAGAAAAACAATCTCAAGCGAGAACATTTTGTTTTAAGAGAGTCAATTCAATCAACCTTCAAAGCCTTCCCTCGCGATCATTTGTTTGAAATGAGTCTTCTCTCGTCGAATTAATTCTGTGTTGATTTGTAATCCAAGCTTTACTAGACATAACTACAGGTTGAATCAGATAAATTCATTTGACATTTCAAATTTCACTCAACTCATTTCAGTTTAATTCGATTTCTTTTGTTTTTTAAACGTTAGACATCATTCTGCATTAATATTAATGCTTCCATTTATTGATAATTAAATTTAAATAAATTTTTATTAATAGTTAATAATTCAACTCGAGTAAAGTAATTTGAAAATAATCATGTGCAACATTAATCCGAAACGTCAAATCATACAATAAAAAGGAAAAATATTGGCTCTATGAAAGAATGTTAAATAAATACTTTACTTTTTTTCACTTCAATTAATTATTTTTTTGAAATGGTATTTTGTAAATTTAGCATACATAAATATATCAACTCTATTTGACAGACTTCATATGGTTATTACCCAAAGTAAAGAAGTACAACCAATCAACCAATCAACAGTCACAAAAACAAAAGAAAATACAAAAAAGATTAGTTAGACTATGCCTCAAACATCACAAAGCTTAAGATTAGTGATATCAAGTCTATTAATATTAGTATCCCTAAGACGGATCCCAACAACGTTTTTAACTTCAGATGGTTGATTTTTCATTTCCATCGCTACAAATATTTTAGTTAATAATAAATTTATATTGGTTAATGCATGAAGTGGAAATTTATAATGATTTAGACATAAGAAAAGAGATAATTAAGTCGTTGATTTGTGCTTTAAATCATACGACGAGTTGTTGGTCGATTATCTTATAGAAGTAATAGTATGATCTTCATTCTCTTTTGTCCTAAGTATTTGATGGTCACATAATTGAATCATAGTTAGATTTGATAGAATTATAAAAAATGAATTTTAATCATTATAATTTAATATATTTATATTACAACCTAATATGTAGATCCATCAAATCATATGAACTATACATCGTTACATTTCATGAATGATTTTAGGATAAAATCCCTCTATATGAGAGATGATATGATATGATATCTCTTTTAACTAGACAAACTGCTCTAAATGATGTTATAAAATAATTTTAAATTAAATTATAAAAATTAAAAATAAATGAAAATCAATTTCCAATTAAGTAAACTTTTTTTTTTACTAATTTGAAGAAAAAAGCTTAACACGTTATATACATTTTTTATTAAAATGAGCTGGTCAAAATTGCAACGTGATATATTTTGATACGCACGGTGGTACTGAATCCTAAATACCAATACAGGTAAAGACTCGCTGGCTTCATACTACGTAGTCTCATAAAACTCGGAACCTCTTAATCGCGCGTCATTCCCACTCTCTTCGATCAAACTCCAGAATCCAAAGCGAAGCGACAAAAGATCGATGGTAAATCTCTCACAATTCAAATCGAAATTTTCTAATGTTTTCTATTGTTTCTTTGAGTTTAGTTTATGATTTTGTTTCAGGCTCCTCCTGTAAAGCCAATAACGAGCCCGGTGCCTGATGCATGGTACCCAACCCTAGCCGTCTTCATGCTTGTCATTGGTCTTGTCCTCGCCGCTTCCTTCTTCATGTAACAAACCTTCATACATTTCTTCCTTCTTACTATAACCAATTTTGTTTTTTTCTTTTATTATATTAATTTTATTAGGCATTGTTCGGGTTTCCCCCCATATGTTTTTGAAATTTTACAAGTAGATCTGATATATATATATATATATATATATATATATATATATATATATATTTATAATTGGTTATACAATAGGGTAACTGTATAGCATTAGCATAACTTTAATATTTTTATTTAGAATGTACATTTCATTGATTTGATCTGGAAATTTTCTTTTCCATTTAAATAGGCAATTTGAATGCTACAGTATGTTCCTTTTTCTAATGAGAATAGCATACAAGTGCGATTTTGATCATTCCCCTTTGTGTTTTTGGTTGATACAGTTCACTTCTCTTTACCTTTGATTTGTATAATTATCAGTTGGAGTCATGCCATTTCATGTCTGCTTTGGTTTCAGAAATACTTGTCTCAATCAGTATCTTTTTTTTTAATTTGGTTGTGGTGTTTTAAATTTTGAACTTCTCTTAATTTCATCTTCAAGGCCTAGAATTATACATGAACTTTTTGCATGGCTGAAACTGTTTCTGAGCTCATCTAGTTTGTTATACTGAACTTTCTTTATCCATCATGTTTTGTTAATTTTACCATTTTAGCTCTTTTCTGGTTTTGGAAGGATGAAAGCATCTTTCGAGTAAGAAATCTCAATCGAGTTTGATCTTGCAGTTAAGAGTTATCTTTTTGTTGAACTTTGTTGATTTTAGCTTTAAGTCTGCTTGTGCTTGGCTTTGCTTGAGTATTGAATTTCTTAATATGCATTGGATCTCTTTTTGCTTAACCGTGCTAATGCTTCCTCCTTGTTTACTCAAACTTAGGGGCCTACTACTATCATTAAACGGTGGCAATGTTACCTCAATTATCATAAACTTTTTTGCACTTGATTTGTTTTCCTGAGAAAGCCGTAGTTTTGATTATAAAATGTTTCATTTAAGATTTCATTTTGCCCAAAATATGTAGCTACGAAGCAACTTCTTCTAAACGAAATCGCTGCCTTGCAAAGGAGCTCACCACAGGGGGAGTGGCATCTGTCTTCCTGGTATAGCATTTCTCTATCTGTTTTGGCTGGATTTTCTCATATATTCTTCTAGTACTGTGCATTGCTGACTGATGCTTGATTCTTATCATCCTCGCAGGGATTTGGGTCATTGTTTTTGTTACTTTCAGCAGGTGTTTATGTATGATTTTAATATTTTCAAACCATTTTATTAATTTGGTGAACAGAATGGAGCATCACGGAATTGACATCGTTACTTACAGACAATTTTGTTATTAATCAGATAAAAAGATAGTATATATGACTACATTTTGATGCCTATTTGGTTTTCTTGGTGTATGCTCAAATTAGTTGTAGTTGCATCCTGTTGTTTAACTTGCACTCAGCGGTTCGATAAAATAGATTTTTAGTCGGAAATATAAAAATTATCTAAAATATATAAGAATTTGAATTTTTTAAAGGGGCGTTCTCCTTCGGCCCATCCATGTGCATATACGTGGAACGTAGAGTATGTGTGAGGTGGCCATAGCCATACATTTTCTGAGTTTACATGAAAATTTTCTATATGAGAATATATATATTTTCCTTCAATTTTCCCCGTCAGTTTACATGAAAGTTTTCTATATTAGAATTTATGGCAGTGAAAAAGATTATCTAGTTTTGCACCGCCTTAAATCAAGCTCAGTTGTGAGTTATATCATACAACTATAAATTAATAGTTCGAAAGTAATGCATGTTACAAGGTGAGTTCACAGTCTGCGAATGCTGCACAACATGCTTGCTTATAACCTGGTTACAAAACGACTGGTTACTAGGACTTGAGTTATGTCTAGTATGGGTTATAGTTAAATTTTCTCTCAAGTTTTCCGATGTTTTTGGAGGGTCATATTCGATACTCGTACCCGAATTGTATTGAACACGGGTGTTGCATACGGATATTTATAGAAGAATGGAGAGTCGCCATATTTATAGAAGAATGGAGAGTCGCAATAATCATGGTATATAGTAGGGTTCTGTTTGTTGACTGAATAAGCATTGCAGGGGTTGAAAATGAATATGAAAATGAAAAATGATGATAAATCACTTTCATTTAACATGGACCGTGCAACTTAATTACCACTCTCCTGGTTCATCTTTCATAATCTTTATCTATTTTTCACATCCAAATAATGAGGACTGAAGGAGAAGATTTGTAAATGTGAGGGAATTGAAAACCTCAAATCAAAACCAACTGAAAAGGATGAAACTTGTGATAGTGATGGTTCTAAATCCAATTTTATTTTTATACACAAACGTTGGGATTCACATATTTTATCTTACTTAAAAAATTTAGTATATTATTCCAATTGACTGGCTGATTGTTGATATATCAATCAAGTATTTAATATTAATTTCTTTATCACTTCATCTGAAGTTAAGTTGATTCTTTACATGATCTAATCATTCACTGCATGGCATTAAAATTTATTCATACATTTTTATATTCCTTCCGTTCGGTTGGCACTAAAAATATCATTTTCGGGCACAGGGAATTGGTACTGATCCCTATCCCATCTTACGAAGCTGAATTCAAGGATCAATTAACAATTAAAGTTGCCACCTATCAAACACTAGGGACAGTTGGTGGCTCAAGATAACCCCCTAAAACACTTTGAAAAATGAACCCTAATCATATTTCTTAATTGACCCATAATGCAAATAGTATTAGTAATACACAAGGATTAATATTTTTTTATAATAATTTAAGACGATTATAATGTAGTATCTATTCAGAATCTTTTTTAACCATCGACAATATATACACCCATAGATGCAATTACTTGAACTCAAAAATTTTAAAGAGAACAAAATTCTCTCCAACAATAAATCCACTTGATAAATTCATGATATTGGATTTAAAACTTAATAATTTATATGTTGGACAAATAACTATATAAGAATTACCAAATATAACACATTTTTATTTGCATTTTATAAAATAAAATTAAAAAAGCAAAGAAATGATGCAAAATGAGACACACAAAAAAAAAAAGAAAAGCAAAAGACAACAACAATTGGGAAATGATAATTTTGATGCCAACATATCACTACTTTTTACACGTCAAATAATAAAAAGAAGGCTCACTTTGTAAAAATAAAATATAAACAAATAAATGCTACAATCTATTTTTAAAAAAAATATTTATAAACTCATTTCATCTCAAAATTATTTGTAAAAATAGTACTTATTCTAGTCACATGGAACAAATGCAAATCTTTAAATAAATCATTACAATATATAATATAAAAAGTATTTTTTAAATCTTAGAAGGTACAAATTAAAAGTGATTTTCACGTAAATTAAAATGTTTATTGTAGAATAAAATGAAGATATATATTTTAAAATACACAATTTATATTATTACTTTTATCTTATACACAAATTAAACATGATTTTCACGTAAATAAATCATTCCAATATATAATATAAGTTTTTATCCATCAAATAACTAGTTTTATTTCGTCAAACAAATATAGCTATTTAATCGTCAAAAATATAATTTATATATCAACAACAATTTATCTGTTGAAAAGTCTTGACAAGCACCGAAAGGTGCTAATAAAAAAAATTCCACCGAAAAAATTTGTCAAAAAGGTTGGGTTTTTATTGAATTTTGGACAATGGTAAAATCATAATTTTAGCCATTGTAATTTAGGGTATTTACAAATTAGTCCTTAGAGCTTCAACTATAAATACCCTAGCTCATTTAGCTTCAAACCATCCCAAAGCATTCTAGCTTTCTTCTAATACTGGAGAGAATATTAGAGAGTTTCTTGAGAGTTGTTTTCTCATTTTTATCAAGAGAGAATTATCATTGTTTTCTCCTTGGTCGATCGAGAGAAGTTGTAATTCCTATTTTCCCATAGTGAAATTCTTCTACCGTTGCCTGTGGTTTTTACCCTATATTATTTAGGGGTTTTCCACGTAAATTTTGTGTCTTCTTTATCTTCATTTTTATTTTCTCAAATTATCAGTTGCGATTTTGCTCTATCCGATAGCCGTCTTCCGCAACAATTGGTATCAGAACTAGATTAGAGTGTGTAATATCTGCTTATTGTCTTTGTGGTTGCCACCAAAAGGTAGATCCTCCAACATAAGAAAGTAAGAAGGTTCCAGAGAACTATTCACGATAGTGAAATAGTGGGAGCTATCCGTAATAGAAGCTATGGCAAAGAAATTTGATATTGAAAAATTTAATGGGAGAAATTTCTCATTGTGGAAATTGAAGATGAAGGCCATCCTGAGGAAAGACGGATGTCTAGCAGCTATCAGTGAAAGGCCGGTAGATTTTACAGATGACAACAAATGGATCGAAATGGACGGGAATGCTATGGCAAACTTTCATCTAGCATTAGCAGATGAAGTATTGTCAAGCATCGAGGAAAAGAATACAACTAAGGAGATATGGGATCATCTCACCAAATTGTACAAGGTCACATCGTTGCACAATAAAATTTTTCTTAAGAGGAAATTGTACACTCTCCGTATGCTAGAATCTACTTCAGTGACGGAGCACTTAAACACACTGAACACATTATTTTCTCAGCTTACATCCTTAAGATGTACAATAGGAGAACAAGAACGTGCTGAACTTCTACTTCAAAGTCTACCTGATTCGTATGATCAACTCATCATCAACTTGACAAACAGTAATGTCACCAGTCTAGTCTTCGATGACGTTGCAGCTGCTGTTCTCCAAGAAGAAAATCGGTGCAAGAACAAGGAAGACAGACAAGTAAATCTGCAACAAGTAGAAGCATTGACAACGATGAGAGGGAGATCAATAGAACGTGGCCAAAGCAGCAGTCACAAACATGGTAGATCGAAGTCGAGGAGAAGGAAGAATTTAAAGTGCTACAACTGTGGAAAGAAGGTTCACTTGAAGAAGGATTGTTGGAGTCTAAATAAAAACTCCAATCCACAAGGTAATACCGCAAACACTTCAGATGATGGAGATGCTCTATGCTGTGAAGCGTCAACCACTGTGGAAGGAATAAAAAGATTTGCAGATATATGGCTCATTGATTCAGGAGCAACATATCACATGACCTCAAGAAGAGAATGGTTCCATCAATATAAACATGTCTCAGGAGGATCTGTGTATAGTTGCAATGATCATGCCTTAGAGATCGTTGGCGTGGGGACCATCAAATTGAAGATGTATGATGAAACAATTAAAATTGTTCGAGATGTGAGACACGTGAAAGGCCTGAAGAAAAATTTATTATCCTACGGATTGTTGGATAATAATGCAAGCAATATTGAAACACAGAAAGGAATCATGAAGGTGTTTCGTGGAGCGCTTGTGGTGCTGAAAGGCGAAAAGATAGCTACAAACTTATACATGCTGAAGGGAGAAACTTTGCTAGAAGCAAAAGCCTCTGTTGCCTCATGTAGTTCAGATTCTGCAATGCTATGGCATCAGAAACTTGGACACATGTCAGAACAAGGAATGAAAGTCCTTGTGGAGCAAAAGCTACTTCCAGGCTTAACAAAGGTATCACTTACTTTATGTGAGCATTGCATAACAAGTAAGCAGCACCGGTTGAAATTCAACACATCAAATTCTAGAGGCAAAAGTGTTCTAGAACTGGTTCACTCTGACAAGCACCAGTTACATCCCTAGGCGGAGAAAAATATTTTGCTCATTTATTGATGACTACTCCAGGAGATGTTGGGTGTACCCTATTAAGAAGAAGTCCGATGTGTTTTCAACTTTCAAAAACTTCAAAGCGCGGGTGGAACTTGATTCTGGAAATAAAATCAAGTGTTTCAGAACAGATAATGGAGGAGAATACACAAGTGAAGAATTTGATGACTTTTGCGGGAAAAAAGGCATCAAAAGACAGTTCACAGTGGCGAACACTCCTCAACAAAATGGAGTGGCAGAGTGGATGAACAAAACCTTGTTAGAAAGAACAAGAGCAATGTTGAGGGATGCATGCCTAGAAAAATCATTCTGGGCAGAAGCAGTCAATACCGCCTGTTATTTGGTGAATCGAGCTCTATCAACTGCAATAGAGCTGAAGACACTAATGGAGATGTGGACTGGTAAACCAGCTGATTATTCAAACCTCCATGTATTTGGAAGTATAGTGTACGTGATGTACAACTCCCAAGAAATTTCAAAGTTGGATCCAAAATCCAGAAAATACAAATTCTTGGGGTATGCTGATGGAGTAAAGGGGTATCGCTTGTGGGATCTCACTGCCCGCAAAGTGATCATTAGCAGGGATGTTATCTTTGTAGAAGATAAGCTACAAA